CTTATGTATCAGGATAAAGCAATATAGGTACAATATACGATAGTGCACCAAACTGTACGACAAGTATTCCACTATAATGTTCTGAGAAAAACTACAGTTACACAAAACATGGCACTTCTGGTTGATTCATTGGTGGAGCATATAAGGTTGATAATTTTCTTGCAACAACAAAACATAAAGAAAATCATCAGCTGTAAATGGTCAAGACAAAAGAAGTAATCAACTTTTCACGCACCTGTCATCCATCCTAGCTTGAGCTTCAACATAAGACAAAGCAGCACATGACTTGATAACACTCTTTGTGAATCTAGTAGAAATAACATGTGCATCAGGAGTCATTTCCTGAAAATAAGATTAAAAAAACAATAGTTTTGCCGTAATTAATACTCCAATGAAAGGTAAAAGAATAAGGAGACTAGCATACCAAAGTTCATGCTCCGAGGCATGGATAACTGAAATATCATGTTTTGAACTATATTAAATGAGACCAGTTTATAAAAACATTTTCAAATTTTCTGTATGATCTTATTTTGTTATCCACCCTACTCGTTGACTACTCCACCTAATTGTTGATAGTTGTAGCAATATTCCAAGTCAAGATGCTTTGTTGGCTTAGGGTTAGTTGTAAAAGTCCAGTTCTAAATAGGTAAGAGAAATTTGATTGATCGAACAGTATGTTGTACTTCTGTACAAAGTCACTTCTTAATAATTCATATTATGTAAACACAAGTGCAGGAAGGCATACTGAGTTTACTACGTTATAGATCTACTCATAAATATAATCACAGTTCTGTGCAAATACTACAAAGTAAACCCTAAGATTCAGTCCATGACCCAAAGTAAACCATAAGAGTCAGTCCATGACCSAAAAAAATACGAAAGTAGACCATGCAACAATATTTGAGGGGCGACATTTTTTGTAAGCATAGCTCAGCCGACCAAGTTCAACTGCTCAACAGTGCTAACACTTCAAACAAGATATTTCAGATAATTCAGCAATTAATTGCTTAATATAGCATAGAATCAAGTTATATACTCTTCTTGTGGATAGAGAATTGGAAAAATGGCAGGAAAAACAAAAATATATGCTCTTGTTAGCATACATAAGCTCAATGTCCTTGCTATGAACTTGCATGATAATAGCATCAAATAACAAGTTAAGTTGGTCCACAGCAAGATCTTTGCATGACCACAAATTTCATCAAGAACATATACATTGCTAAGCAGAGAACAATTCATATTAGAAGGAAGATCTTACTATCCTCAAGTAGATAAAAAAACATACCCAAATAACAGAAAAGGCAAGCCTCTCAACATCAGCCCGAAGAGAACATATATCTGCAAAATACACAAGTCAAGAAACTGATGATTCAATATTATCTTGYAAAGTTTGTCATGTATATACTTGAAGACACACAACAATACCTTCCGTRAGAGGTTTGGGAAGCATGTCAATGCGGCGTTCAACAAGATAGGTAGAAGTTCCTCTTTGTGTAGCTTCACTATCAAGGGGTGTTCCAGGGTGAACAAAATTTGTGACATCAGCAATATCTTATCGAGTAAAGGACACATAAAACTCACTTTCCGTTAAAAAAAATTGTYATGCAACAGGTACAGTCTATACAGACGACACGACACCCATGCATATGAGTAAATACAAAATCTAAATTCAAATTATTCCCGACCTGGAAATACTTTTGCTAGTCAGTAGACCGGTAAGCAAAAAGTCAGTTWGAATCCAGTAGTTAAGGTTAATAAGGTTGCATGGTAATAATTGTGACTGGACTTACCTCACTAAGGGTGCATGACTCTGATTTGGTCAGCTATTCACTGAACAGGTCGAGTACATCACCCTTGACCCCTCCYAGACCCAAGTCATAATTGCATTAATTGTTAGCAAAGAAGGAAATATATAAGATGAATATGAGTACCTAATACTAATTACCATAATAAGTTTTTGGTGTTTTACAAGTCKGTTACATCAAAGATAACAGATTGATCCTTGAACATTAAAAGATCAGTGCTAGAACTAAATGATTTATAATCAGTTTCTCGTAATACTTTAAGTCATAATTGTCTCAACAACCAATAAATGAAGATGCCCAAGGATACGAACTCCAACTTCAAAGTTCCCATTTGGAAGTGAAGTACAATTTAATGCATCATCAATGTCCTTGCATCCTGCACCAACCAGAAAGCTTATTTCATGTGCAAGACTAGATAACCCAAGCCTTATCCATAAGAAAAATCTATGAGACAGTAAGGTCCAGAGGCTGGTGCTTATACTCCTTTATTACCTGGAGGGTCCACACTAAATATGCGTAAATGACGCAGGTCCTGTCTGATGGGATTTGACAGATCCTCTGCAGACACTGACCAAGGTAATGGTGGCAGGCATGCCAAGACTTGAGAGGAGAATGGTCTTGCWTCTATATCATTCTCTATTAACACAACCTGCAGTATTTGCCCTAAGTTATCAGATTTAGAACCAGATAAAATTAAAATTTACCCAAGTGGGAGACTGGAAACTTGGGTACATTAACAAGGTAAAAAGGTATTCATGTATCCYGATATAGATTACTTTTCTGTTCTCCACTGGTTCCACACCCACCAAAATATATAATTAATAAGCAGAAACAATGTAACATAATACCTCTGTTTCAGTTTCCCGGTCTCCAATATCTCCTATTGTACGAACATAATGCCCAGAAGGGTATCTGGATTGGCAATCCCAAGTATCAACAGCAACAATAATTCTTTTGTCAAGAAGATTCCCAAGTTGCCGAGTTTGTATTCGTATCTTAGGAAATCGGCGATCCTTGGAGACAAATAGAGCATGGGCTATACCAGCATTACCTGCAGGCATAGGCATTGGCTCCAGAGATCCACAAYACCTGCAAACATGTTAAATCTGAATCAACCACTGGGAGGGAAAATGGGATTGCAGTTTGTAGCAATAGTGACTATAATTGGGATTATATCTTGCACAATGGCAAAGAAACATCAACAATAATTACTAGCAAATAACTGAATTGCTTATATTGCACACTACAATAGCAAAAAGACATCAACAATAGTTACTAGYAAACAACTGAATTGCTTTCAGATAACCCAAACTTATAACCTGAAAGACAGTTTCCTTGATGCTAGCATCTAGAACAAAGATCTTCAAAACCACAGGATGACGACMAGTAATATGGTTTAAGCCTAGAAAAAGGCTCATTTCTAGTGCAGKAAGATCACTGAAAGAAGGTTCAATTTGTCAAATGATGGATTAAATGTACKTATTTAATATCATTTCAGCAAAGAAAATTTGGAAGATCTGAATTTCAAGAATAAACAAGGAAAACAATATATGTGAGTATCCATAGATTKCACGCAGAACCCTGAGTTTGTGGCAAATGCAACTAGTAGATCAGCTTGCAGAAGCCAAAGCAGAGATAGAAWAGAATAGACAAAACAGATAGATATTGCAGAAAGCAAAAGATGAAAGTTGTACTTAGATGTAAGATTCACACTCAAACAGAAATGTATACTGATCAACAAAAGAGAGAAGAAAGGACAWGACTGTAGATGGAAGGAAGCCCAACTGGCTAAGTCTCATGCAAGTACACAAGTGCAAACATTTATTGGGTCTCACCATATAATTCAGTTCTGACGTATTATATTAAGATTTTTCGTCGTAACTATTTACTAGATAGAGATCCCATAATCACTTAAAGACAAACTTACGCATGCCAGTTCCGTTTTATAATGCCAACAACACGCCCAGAAGGACGAGAATTAGCAATATGCGCATTTTCAACAGATCCTTGTGCTGAATTTGCAATTCTGGGAGCATCATCAGCACTGCTTGGTGCTAGGTGAACACCTTCATCTTCTTCATCATCTGAAACATAACAGAGAAGTTACTAAAAGCAATTGATCTGTTTCCAACATGCACTCTAACAAATCAAAACCAATTAATAGAGTGTCACTCCACACGGTAGTATGCATCAGTGATTGAAACTGGACTGAATCAGGCTTTACCATCTTGAGGAGAATGGRCATACCTTAAATGCTGGGACAACGAGAAAACAAATAAAATTTCATAAAGTTCAGATCAAACAATGCTAACTATCTGGCTATCTCTGGCTTGCTTTGTGGAAAAAACACGTTGTGGAAACCAAACTACTTCAAGAAAAAGATCAGATCCGTAACAGAATCCAGGTGCGGATAAAATAAACTCAACCGAACACTTTCCAACTAGTTTTGACCTAATACATGAACATATTTTGCTTCATAATTTACTTTAATGACAAGTTTGACAGTGTTGAAACATTGTCAGGGCCCAGCTGGGAAAAAGATAATTAATTCAATTCAAAGGTCAACCACTCTTTCATAGGTTTAGTCCTGGAAAACAATTGGTAAGACACACTTGCAATGACAATTGGAGCACCCATCCTCAGCTGCTCACAAATAGAAATCCCCTCAATATTTTCMTCTCATCTAATGGTTATCACCAACCCTTCTCCAGGTTGGATTCTTCTAGTAGGCAGAGAGAGAGAGAGGAGGAGGAGAAGTGGTGGATGGATGGGCAAGCCTTGCAACTCACCTAACATTCTCTCTAAAAATGGATTTGGCTTATCTTCTACATTTTTCATTTATCTGGCAAATCGTATGAGTTTCTAAAGAAACAATTCAAGAAAGAAACAGAAAGTGATACCATGTGTTCAAAAAAAGTTTTTTTTTACGCACAAATAACATGAACACTAAGCCTCAATAGTCACTCATGAACTTCTAAGGCTCTGATTCATGGTACATTCCAATTGAAGTTAATTGCATTGCAGTGATAAGAAGGAAGAACATTCATCAAGTCAAGAATCACTAACCCTTTAAAAATTGGATACATACACTTCTAAAAGAAGAGCACAGATCAGATGCTTAGTATTAGGTTTATGTATTTGGTTATAATGGAAAATGAACGAGCCAATCATGATATTGTCTTCCTGTTCTACTGGAAAACTAACAAACATAGACAAGGAGACTGTCTGATGTTAAAATACCTTCCTCAGCTATAGAAAGAGACTTTTCGTTATGCCATTGATCTTGAGGCAAAAGTTCAACAGCCACTATATCTCCATCAAAAGCTCTATTCATGTTTCCGCGCCCAAAAATTATTATTTCATCACCAATACTCTCACTTCCAACATATGCTTCAAATGGATTATAACGGTTAACACGAAGCTTTCCTTGATGGTATATTCCACAGCGTATCCCAGAMGTAATCTCTGACATGGGCTTATGCTGGATCAAAGCAAGTATTGCAAACATGTGACTAAAGCAGATATAACCATCAAATTCAGACATGTAAATTTGGCCATTAATACCTCATTATATATAACTTTCTTCTTTGAAGRCCTCAAATCTTCAATGTCCATATCCTCAGAGGAGTGAGGTTGAACAAGAAGATCAAGGAGTGCTGGCTGACCAAGTGATTTCACATATGACTCCACTGAAACAAAACGAAGAGTAAGCAGGGACAAACAGAGATCTCAAGACTGAAAAGRAAGAAACACGAGCATGATACAGAGATTGACAATCAAATTTGGTATAATGAATTGGTTATGTGSATGCCAAATTTCATAAATTATTTTTTAATCCACTCGATGTCAAAAATAATCATAAGTACCACTAWTTTTAGCAAAACACATGTAATTTTAATTAACTTATTTTTATAATAATAATATTTTGAATTTTTGATTCAAGTTGTTATTTGTTTTAGATACAAATTCATTCCTTTTAACTGTTGCTAAGCATTATTTGAAATTATTAATTTATTTGATAAAAAATAATATTTATTTAAATAATAATGTAATATTTTACATAAGTTTCAAATAAACTATGTACAATTTTAAGAGTGATGTCATTTAACTAAATCCCGACTAAAATTATGTATGAAAATGGTAAAATTACAATGATGCATCACCTGTATCTGCAGAAATTCCCTCGTCAATGGCCTTTCTCTTATTTTCCCTGTCATTTGTGATCATTAAGATTCTAGTGGCACCACCAAGATGGTTCTGGTACCACTGCGCTGCAACCCTAATAGCTGAAAAGGCATCAAAGCGTACTCCAGTGTCAAAAAAATTAACATCTAAACTCACGCATCATTTCATTTAAGTAGCATAAATTTACAGACTTTGAGCGCATTCTTGTTGATATCACTCATTACATAATATCAAGTGAAGCCTTCCACAACAAGCTCTACTGCTGCTTATGCTAGACAGTTCAATTTAACAAACAATGTACTGTGATCACCAAAATGACTACTTGATCCAGATTAAGCTTTTATTAGGAACTTTAAAGCRTATATTATGTGATTATATTTCTAAAAAAGTTTTGCAAACAAAGGAAGCCTCCAATTTGTGCTGGACATTCTAAATAGATCCTCCAAGAACAGAATATACATCTGAATCCTATACCATACTCACTTCAGCATTCCTTTAGGCTAARRAAACAATAGAAGTACACGCACATTAGCTAAATTGCAAATGCACCAATCATCAAAGAGTACACCTAGGCAGCAAGTCTGTTGGGTTTGCATTACCACAGTATACACATGCTTTATGCTATACAATTGCATAAAGCAATTAWTCGTAGCATAYCTTTTATGCTCCTTGACATAGCATTCTACAAAAGCACAAATGAATTTGAATTWYTGAAATTGATCTTCGAATCTCACTCAACATAATTTAATATTAACAAGTCCTATTTTCCATAATTCCATCCATAGCCATCAAAGAGTTGATTCTCCCGTGCTTGACACTAAATAAGCATTCTAAATCACTAAATATTCTTGATACAATATAATTAGACATCAAACCTCTATCATTGCGATCATTTGGACTCTCGCCTGCCATAGCCTTTATATATGTGTCCCTTCACATATAACATAAAAATCATTAAAATAAGAAATGATAGCAATATACACCAYTACAAATTTCTAACTTTAAAACGAAAAGAACAAAAAACTAGAAAAAGTATAGGTAAAATGTTTGATAGATATACTAATCCCATGTTCTCAACAAGAGCTAAAAGCTAATACAGCAGAACATATATAAAAAATAACAGCAATTGTGTTCTCTAACTGAAAAAGGAAACTAAAAGAAAGTGATAAYCCTTAGCTTCACTTTAATTAACAGTGCATTGGGGATTAAACTACAGATAACATTGTGAAGAATTATAATTTAGAGGTATAAAAATTGATAGACATCTGATATTGAATAATGTAAGTAATCTTATGAAAATTAAGCGGCTCACTTATGGTGTTCGTTAGAAAATACAAAGAATCTTCTTAAGGAGTTGCTACATAAGGCCCTCAGTCTGTTGTAAACTGCAAGATTCTTGTTCTTGACCTCTTCCAACACCACAGAGAGCACCACGACATCRTCAATTGCTGGATTCTCAAGCAAATCGATCTAAAAATAAAAGAGAAAATGGGTAAACATGTACTAAAATAAAATTAAWAAAGGTATATGTGATGCATGTTTCTTAAGGAGACAGGATTAACTTGCATGCTCACTCAATGTCCTTTATTGAAGTTGCATAAAAAAGAAGTGAATCTGCAGACTATTTAAACTTTTGAAAGGTAAGAGGAATTCCTTTTCATATTACCGTGAACTAAAATAGATCTTCTCAAAACTAAMACAAAGGAACATAATACTAACAAGTTTTATTTCTCTTTTGCCTAAAAACCAAACCAAGTGTACATGGTATATCCCATCCAGAAGTACGGTCCMGGMGGAATAGAATGTACACATACCTTTCTTCTACCCAAGAAGTAGAGAGGATGTTTTCCTAATGACTTTTAATCAATAAGAGCCCTACTTCCCTCGAAAACCTCATCGCTGAAATTCACGCGCAAACCTACTTCTTAGTCACCGGSCTAAGCAGAGTGGAAACGTAAGTTAATTCGTTCGCTTGGCTCGCCCTAGATCACTAAAGACCCCCGGTTCGCGAGAAAGTTTTGGAAAGTTAAGAGTTCAAAACTTTTGAAGATTTTAAAAAGTAATGGATTCTATGTTACCTCCTACTATAAATGTCCATGYAATACAAAAGTCTTGTAAAGTTCTAATCCAAAAATACATCTTTCTCATCAGTAATCACTACAAAAAAGTGATAGCATTGACATAGTATTGGACTCTTAGTCCACAATCTTCCTCCACTAGGCATTTTAGATATACTAATAATCAAACGCTTTCATTAAACCATACCTCAAATCAAACAATGCATTCATTTTGAGATGAGTAGAGTACGTGAATACTATTAGTCTATTAGATAAAAGTTCGTTTACTACTAACCAAAATATGATACCAAACGACTGTAACTACTAAAAAGTAAAACAAATCTTGTGGGTGCAAACACATTTATTTAACTCTAATTGCACTACATCCAACAGAATATTGGTCCCCTCTGATACAAATATCTACAGTGTCCAGTTTAGTTCGTTTAATTAGAGAGATATTTTCCTAAAATAAGACAGCAAGTGCRCATGGCATTCGCTGACTCCCACYATAACAAAAATACATTGTCTGTAACTATGACTATCACCATCATGGCAGCACCACAAAAACACTCTCATTCCCTACAAAGGGACATTCAACTATAACAAAGCATTTCATAGTGCACTAAAGTGGATATGACACAATACCATACACCTACACGATTAAAAGCTATTGCAACCACCAATGTACCATCACACATCAGTTTTTTAGTACAAGAGAGCACAAATAAGAGGAGATACAGTGTCTATTAACTTATATGCTTTTTCTACACCAAAAGAAATCACAGGGAGTTAGTGGTARCCTCATTAGTCACAATAGAATGATAGATTTCCCCCTATCTATACACTGGCCTCTACAAAGAAAAAAATAGAAAAAGCTTATTCGTCTCATGGTGTAATGTATGTTATATTGTTCAACTTCAATCTAATATGAATTTGTTTACCTTTGAAGAAAATAATTACACCTTTGAGATAGTTTACAAAGAATACAGTTCTAGGAACTATTATCAGTATATTCGTATTCATTTTACCTTCTAGGATATCTTTAACTTAGGAACAGACTGGATTACACAAGTCATATCTTGAATTACGGAACAAAGGGATTGTAACAGAAACTCGTTCACTACGACAGCTATCAACAACCACAAGATGAATAATTGAATGAAAGAGCATGATATACCWGATTCAGAACGACATTAGTATCAACAACAAGGATTGCGGAGCCAGGGGAACTGAAACGAGCACCTTTYGTATCACAAACTTGGCAAAAAGAGGCTCCGCAGTATATATCATCTCTAAGATAATGTTCTCTAACCACCTGTATTCACAAAGTAAATTACTTCTTCACGTGTTCACAAGACTTGCCTCCAGTTTCCATTCACAGACTATAACAACTAACAATTAACAGTTGAAAAGGGATTACAAATACAGTAGMTAGGGTTTTCAAGATTAGGGTTTTTTAAGAAAATGCAAAAGAGGAGAACTTACCTTAACAACTTTGCCTTGTTTCGTTTTCCGGACGAATGACTTGCTCTGTAACATGATTCTTTTTCTGCCAATKTACTTTTTAGTATTCCAGGTATGATGCTACCAGAAACGAAGAAGTTGAGCTCCAACCCTGCTCCTATGGCGGCCGTTTACGGTATTTTCAATTTTCKGCTTGTACACACCTTTGATTTGATTCTTGAAGCTATTCAACTTCCCTGGTTTTTATATYATGGTTGTATGGGTTATTGATTGCTTTGGTTTATTGCAGGGTTATCCCCAATTACACCCGAATACCCCCTCACGATGTTCTGAATAAATGCTTAGGGTCAGAGGGTCGGAGGTGATTATGGTTGGGTTGATAGTATTAAAGACATTCGAACAATTTAACATAATATTTACGGTTTGGAAAAATCTTAACTTAACCCAATCCATATGAGTTGGTCTGGTTGATAATTTGGTATATTAAAATATTTTTCTAACCTTAAATGTGTTATTTTTCTACTCGTAATTTCTTTTTCATCATCAACAATTTGATACAACTTATCCATATTTTTTACGTATATCACATTCAATTAATTTTCTCAATTTATATATATATGTTCACAGTTACTGAACATATATATAAATGAGTTATATAGATATATGAATAGATTGAAAATATGTGTATATGAAAAGCATACATGATAGTGTAATTGTCTAATGTATATATTAATAGAAATTCAACAATCATATTAAATTCAAGAAATAAAAAGATATCGGGTTCATCGGGTTGGGTTTGGTTCAAATAATAGTAACCCAATATTAACTCCATACCTACGGTTTGAAAATTTTACAACTCGATTAGACATCAGGTTGCTTCGGATTTGGTTATTTCGCATTGGGTTGGATCGGATTGGTTGGGTTTTTGAGCACCCCTATACATACTAATAATGTTGTACGACTACAATCTTTTAATAAGAAATTATCATGACTAAATTTATGGGTGTTTAGGATTGCTTATAAAAATAACTTATTAACTTATTTCGATGTGTCACCGGTAATAAGCATTTTTGAGTGTTTGGATAAACAACTTATACCGGTGTCAAACCGATAATAAGAAGTTTTTAAATAAGTTAAACCATTTTGACTTATAATAAGTTGATAAGTGCTTTTGTAGAAAAACATAAATTATTTCAAATAAGCAATCTCAAACACCCCTTAAAATCGGTTTTGGTCCTAATAAATCCCGCACCTGATGCATCCGAAATGGATGAATAAAACATATTACACTTGTTTTATTTAACATTGTAATTCAATTAGTCATTTAGAAAATATAAAGGAGGTTCAAACGAGAAGTTAAATCACGTGTAAAATCATAGTTAACAAAAGTGTGTGTAAGTGACGTGGTCCACGCCCTCAGGTTGCGTCCAAAGTCACGTGAATAACATATGATTTTAGTGTAAATTCATATTGATTCGACTATTTTTTTTTTGTTCATTTATTTAGTTATTGTTCTCGTATGAACTTGACTCCTATCATTTATGTGTGTTTAATTTTAATACGAATCATAAATCAATCTTACTGGTGTCAGTTGTGTGTTTGGTATATTGAATAGAACAKGGATTATTGTTCCGTGTTTGATATGATTTTTATGTGAAACAAACGTGTTTCACCCCCACCTTATGAAACAAGATGGAACGAGTCTATACTTTACCAGTATATTCTCAAAATAAAACATAATTTTCTTCTAAGGGAGGTTTGAGATTACTTATGAAAATTGTTTATTGACTTATTCTAATGTGGTACCGAGTAATAAGCAATTTTTAGTGTTTGGATGGGGGAAAATAAAAGATGCTTATAATTGTGCCAAACCAGTAATAAAGAGTTTTCTATAAGGTACTCTCTTTTAACTTGTCAGATTCAACTTATTAAGTTTGGAAACCAATTTATCTTTTTAACCCTCATATGCCTCCTTTCTTTAACCAAAAACTCTCTCATATGTCTCCTTCCTCAAGCAACCAGTTCATCAAGGGACCTTCGACCATTCCTCATAAATAGAAACAGTTCCAGAATTTGAACCATATTTCTTGCTGTGATTTCTTCTACATCAACAAAAACCGATCGAGACCTTCACGTACAGAAATCGAAATCAAACCTTCGATTGAAACCTTCACCTACARAAGTCCATCAAAACCTTCACCTAGAGAAATCGAAATCGAAATCGAACTTTTAATCGAAACCTTCAACCAATTCCTTCATAAATAAAAAAGRGTTTAGGGTTCTTCCTTCAGGATTACTTTTTGAAAAGGGTTTAGGGTTCTCCCTTACGTAAGCGACCTTCGAACACAAATCCTCCTTCCTCATGTCTTTTTTGGTCATTTTACATGTATAGGCAAATTTTGCCCAATATTGAAAAACAACTTATCAACTTATTACGTTTTGGTACCACCATAAACTAATCCAAACATTTTTTATAAAATTCCRTTTTAACACCACATAAGCTGATAAAACACTTTAACAAAAAAAACGTAAGTCTTTTTCGATAAGCAATCTCAAACACCCTCTAAAACATAAAATGCATCTTTTTCTTTACATTTTATTCATTCTTCAAATTTTATTTATCATATTTTATCATTTTAAACTTTCACTTTACTATCATCAAAATATTATTTTTATACAATTTTTTTATATCTTAATTAATTTATATAATTTATTAAATACTAATAATAATATAGAAAACGTATCAAATGAAATTTAGAAATTAATAAACCTCATAGTTCGGTTTCATTTTAATCATATTAACGAAAAATTTCTACTGATATATTTTGTTATAAAAATATTTATTTTATTATTATCTAATAACGTAAATAAATTAAACAAAATATTAAAAAAAAAAAACTCATTAAAGGTAAACTAGTCATTTATCAGTTATGTTTTGTTCAATCCATCTTATCAAACGTTGAACATATGTCATGTTATGTACGTTTCTGTCCTATCAATTATTGTCCTATCAGATACCAAACAGATGTGAATAAATGTACATATTTAAGCAAGTTTTTGTATACAAAATAATATGTATAGTATGTATGACCTAAAATAATTTGACATCGATCTAATTATGRTAACTTTAGGTTAACTTGCCATTCGATAGGGCCCAAACCCGAACCAAATATTACAGATTTGACCGAATCGGCACCGTAGCGACAGACCATAGCCTTCCTCGACAGCGTATTCCGTCGCTAAGTAGCTTTCCGCGACGACCATAAATGATCTGTGTGATTCGATCACACGGAGGTGTTCAACGACAAATCTCTCCGGCTGCTTTTATAGTTTTCGATCGATGCATCATCTTCCTTCTCCCTACTTGAACTTCCTTCCGTATATTTTCTCTTGGAACGGGCTTTTACWGTCTCTTCTTTTTCATCAACAAACGAAATGAACGTCTGGAGTGTTCCAGATCGGACGCTTCTGCCACTCGACTCACGAACGCTCTGATGGAGTTTGGTAAATTGGCGTATCGTTATTGCAAAGTATATGATTAGGGCAAAAACACAGGCTAATCCGCATATCATGAAGAGCCTTGAAAGCTCGTTAGCTCGAGCTGGTCAACTTCAAACGTTGTTCCCTGCGAACTGCACGCACTACTCATCAACCACTTGTCATGAATCCTTTGCAGGTCACCGTTTTCCGATAGTTTTAGAATAGCCGTTGACATATCGGCTGCTAGAGGAGAGTCCCGCGGAAACGCCTGTTACATAGCAAGAACAGAAAACKTTAGCTTTTGACTTTAGAGGTCCAATCTTTMTGCACGAAAAGCTTCAAAAACAAGAATTTGTTGTTAGTAATCATGAAAAATRAGAACTTCATGTAAAAATTTGAAGTTGAAACTCATCAGTTTGACCATAAAAGTCAACACTTGCAAGAAGTTATATGAGTGAAAACTCTCTACTTACAAATCCCCATCCATTTTTGGTAAACTCTTGGCCAACAATGCTGAATTCACAACGGGTTGAGAGAAAGAGTTCGATGTATGCTCGTTCATCGACCACWGCAGCGACACCACCGTTGTCGGGGCCATCTCTCAAAGCTTTTTCATAGTCTTCGGGCAACGAAAGAGGAATCAGTCGAGCTTCATGAATACCAAGTTCGCCAACAAGATAGTTACGCACAAACGAATTCTCTTGGTACCCGATGGGATCTTTGCTTGCCATCAAACCGTCGATGCCTTTAATAGGCGAAGAAAGTTTCTGTACCGTTAAGATTGAAGTCAAACTAGCAGTATAGCTTGAGTTTATTATAAGAACCACGAATAACCATAGAATTACAACGATACGAMCAAGAGTGCTCAGCGTATTTTCTCCTGCATAAACCAAGATCAAGTAAGATCACACATTGATCATTTCTGAAAAGAGCAAAAGAACTTTCTGAAAGTAAAAAAGAACACTTACTGTGGGAGGAAAACAAAGTTGAAAAGCTAAACCTGCAATAAACAAACAACAGTTTAGCTTAATTCAGACAGACAGCTTAATCCATACACAGTTTTCTTCTTAGTGTACTCTTTAGAGCAAAAATACATAGAGACAAGCACTTACCATAGAACTGTGACGATTTGTTTTTTAGGAGGTCCTCGAAATTCATCGTTTATACGATGTTCTAGAGTCCATACAACAGCTCCCACCGCTAGGAAAAAGAGTCCCGAAACACACCACATTAACGGAGAAAACGGTCTAAGAAAAGCCCAAGTACTAGAGTTCGACCGCCTAACTGGTGCCACTACAACAAGACCGGATTCAATAAATGGTTGTGAAAAATCGGCTAGTCGTGTCCGATTCGTAGTAATAGCAATGTCACCCACCGCAGCATCATAAACCTGCATTAGATTTAGGAAACTTCAAAAAGTTTAACAAAAAAATCTACGATGTTGGCTTACATCACTCTGGCTCATTTGGTAACCATAAGATAGCTTATTTTTTTCAGAACCCTTCGCTTGGTTACCCATAATCTAGCCATTTTTCCATATTTTTCTTTTCTACTGAAGCCCCTTATATTTTTCCAATTAAATTTTCATCATGTCCTTCAAGGCCTTTTATATCTCATCTAGCTTATCAACTAGTTTATATCAAACGTGACTAGTTTATCGGGTAGCATCTAATTTATTAGCTAGTTTGCCAAAGCATTTTAGAGTCTTTTACTTGGAAAGAAATACTCACACCAGCATTTATCAAGCGTACGAGCTTGGTGTTGCTTGGGTTTTGGAGACCGTCTCCAAATGATTGAAACTTATATGGCACAGCATATGGCAGTAAGTTTACAGCAGATGT